ACAGCTACCCAGTGCCCCAGCCCACTGTCCTATGTGCCCAGGGCTCTGTCTTCAAACTCAGATCACATGACCTTTTTGCAGCGAGTGAAGAACGTGCTCATTGCCTTGTTGGAGAACTTTCTGTGCAGTATGGTTTATTCCCCTTACGCAGCACTCGCTTCACAAGTCCTTCAGAGAGACCTGACTCTGCAGGACCTTCTGAGCTCAGCCTCAGTCTGGCTGATGAGAAAGGACTTTGTGAAGGATTACCCCATGCCCATCATGCCCAATATGGTTTTTGTTGGTGGGATCAACTGCCTTCACACAAAGCCAATCTCCCAGGTGTGTATTTGAGGGGAACTTTACCTGCCCATATTATCACAAGTACTTTGGATGAAGGAACTTTTCTTAGATATATGCAGGGAAAACATGATKAGGTAGTTTTAAATGTCCTCTTTTGTCGAATTCTGTCCTGCGTGTCTTCTAGACATCAGTGTTTCTGTCTTTGGTATAATCTTCTGAGTTATTCTTTATATCTAATAAGAGTTTAAGAAAGCATGYTTTAGGCATTTTATTCTGGGCATTTCAGTGGGTAGTTGTCAATTTAATGCAGTAAGTATTAAATGCCATAAACACAGAGTGCTGGGTTTGGGGCACCTTGCACTTTACCCTTGATCAGGTAACAGACTTGAAGTTTAATCTGATCAATAGTTCTTTGGCATTTATATATCCTGGCAAGGGGACTTCCAGATTCTGGGTGTGCTAACAGGAATCCAGATCCTGTGACCTCTCTTTTAATAAGTTAGTTGCCATTGGGCAGAAAGGTCATGAATCTCATTCTGCATTGTGGAAGATCTTGCTCTAAATGTCTGACATCCTATGGCCTGTGTGGATGAGGACAAATGTGTGTGGATGAGGTGGCCTACTTGAGAAAGAATGAGTATTACTGATTTCCTAAAAGTGAAATGATAAAATCTAACAGGATAGAAAACCATTAATGATTCTCTGTCAGATAGAGGAAAATGAATAGGTGAAATATCACCAAACCAATTGGTACATCTCAGATAGGAAAGAAATCTAGTCAGCCTGCCCAAATTATAGAGTCATGAAAGAGAAATGTTTTTGCTATCACTGAAAGATCCAAGAGAAAGCAATGGCATTTCACATTCACTTTGAAATTTAAAACTTTGGTGACAGCATGCATACTGGAAATTCCAATCAGAATGAGAAGACTTGTTTATAAATCTTAGGATCTTCCCCCACCACACCAGCCTTGTCTATTCCTGGGACAGTCCGTCTTTCCGGCTCAGGATCTTTGGTACACTGCCCCTCTCAGTGGGGCGCTGCCCTCTGAATTTGTCACATCTGTCTGCTCGTCTTTGAGATCAGCTTCAGTGTCACCTCCTTGGAGTTGGCCCTCTCCAGCAGCATTCTGTGCAGATTCCTTCAGAGTCCATCAGACACACTGTCGTTTCATTTAGGGGGTTTCCCACCGTCTCCTCCATGTCCTGAGCCATGTGAAGGCACGTGAGACTTTGTGTCCATCACCTGCTGCCACGTGCATCCCTAACATCTGGCAGATGGTCTATATGTGCTTGCTATGCCTGGAACATCAGTTCCTAAGACTAATGTACAGTGGGTGCTCTCGGAATATTTGGCAAATGAATGAATGAAAAAACAGGTACAAACTAGAACTAGTTTTTGGATAGGTAGCAATCCCCAATATTTCTTCATATTCCTATGATTGCATAAAGATATCTATAATTGTATACGTGCATATACATAATATTATATATATATATATATATATATATATATATATATATATATATAGCTTTTTATGTTTGTTTCACAAAATAGGGTGGTAATATGTGCCTGTTGATCACTTATGAATATGCTGGGATTATTGCTCCAGTTCTAAATGCTATATCTATTTTTTAACTGCTCATCAGTATTTCGTGATACTTGGGTCCCATGGTTTATACTGCTAGCCATCTAATCTAGTTCACTATGGAGAAACATTGAAATTTGTATTCTAGGAAATTTTGTTGTGACTTCCAACATTATCTTAACAAGGATCAAATATTTTATAGCTTTCCTCATATTTATTCTGTTTTTCTCATTTTTAAGTGTATTAGTTTTTTGTCACTACTGTGAATATGTTATTTTTCCATTTCTAGCTCTAATTACCTACTCATTATCAGCTACCTCACCAAAATATTGATTTTCATGACTTTTTAAAAATGAAAATTCAGTCAGTTTTTGATAAGGAAATTTTGGGTTCTTCCATTCCAAATTTCATGCAAAATACTAGGGCTGTTGAATTCACTAGAAGCTCTAAGAGCAGGTGAATGATTCTGGTGATTGCCAGGATTCCTGGCTGGTTGCTGATTTTAGGGGAAACTGAGTTTTACTTTATCATTTTGCATTATGTCTGCCACTGTTTGTGGGAAAACAGTCTTTATTCAAATGATTTTAATCTTTAGGAGGTTTATAAGGACAGGTTGTTAAATTTTATCATCTGTTTTTCCAGCATTTATTGATATAATCATATTCCCCTCTATCCCATAAATTTGGTGAATTGCACAAACTACCTATTGGTGGATGCTTTGTTTGGTGCACACATGCTCAGGTGTGAAAATATCCATGTAAYTGTAGCTGACAGTAGCCTTCTTTGTCTTGTTTTAATCGGAAATCCAACTATTTATATAAGTTAATTTTGCCACTCCTGTATTACTTTTTAAAATTTCCCTCATACCTCTTCAGTGCCCACTGTCTTCAGACTTTCTTTTTATATAGCATGAAGGTGGTATTTGTAATCTGGCCAGACATATTGCTTTAATAGGTGAATTTTGCCTGTTTGACTCTATGACTAGGTTTGATTGCACCTTGTCTGATTTATTTTACATTTCATTGATTTTGCTGTTTTCCCCCTTTGCCTGATTTTTGCTGGTTTGTCAAATTCCGTGCTGTTTTCTCTCTGCCCCTTTGTTAGTTAAAATGATACTACTCTGCATTCCCTTCCCTCTGGTGGCAGTTGTCCTAGTTCCAGCCCTCTTGGTGGAAGTCCTTAACTTCAAGAATAAAGATAAAGTCTTTATTCCATTAAGAGCGTCCCTAGAGAAAACACGACCTGGCTTTAACACATCTTCAGTGGGTCTGGAAGGAAAAGAATTGGAGAACAACATTTGGTGAGAAAGGAGTGAGCCTCAAGAGATCCCAGGAGTCATTCCTCTGGCAGGGAGAGAGGCTCTTTGTGGACTGTAGCCTTTCAGAGACTGTGGCCAGATGCAAGATTAGGGAGGCAGAGACTTCAAGATGGCCTGGAGGAATGTGCACAGGAAGGGGAAGCCCTGAGTAGGTGTGGTTGACCTGAGGGTAAAGTGGTAAAGCATGAGGTTTCTAGCATGTGGTTGAATTGGACTYCTGAAAAACAAAAAGATATTTGCCAAGGGAAAATATGATAAAATCCTGAAACTAAAAGTACCCAGTAAAATTTAGGAGCTCTTCTAAAGTTTTTGTCTTGAGTGGAGGAGGGCTCATCAGAGTGGGGAATCCTTTCACTCCGAGGTGAGAGGGTYTCCTCCCTTTTGGAAGGAGTCAAGGGGTGGGGGAATCAAAGGTTATTTTCAGTTAACATGTTGCTTCACTCTTTGGCCATTCCAGTGGCTGTGAAGTTAGGGCAAGGTTTAGAGGAAGTATTAGCAGGAGAGGGATCAACCCCAGCTTTATCCAACCCCATAAAAGCTGGCACAGGGCTGGGTGCTGGCTGTGATAACACAATTTCTGTGGTTGCTCTGTTGTCACCTGTAGGTGAACTTTCATGCCATTTGAGCTTAAGTCCTGCTATTCAACTGGATGTTTGTGGAGCTGTGGGCTTGACATTGTGTTAATCACATTCTCCTGGTTGCAGAATGGGTGTGGGAGAGTGTAAAAGATAGGAAATTAGACTCTGGCCTTTTCCCTACAAGATTAAATGTAGCCTATAGGAGTGAAGGTCCTTGGAAAGTGTAGGTCAGCCATTCACATCACTGAGTAGGAAAGGGCACTTATATGTGATCTGCCTCTCTCCAGGAAAGAGGGAAGGAGGCATGTGGTCTTGATCCCTGGAAGAGGGATTTTAGAAGAGCCATGGTCAGGATGTTCTTGCCATTGACCAAAAATGTGGTGTGGTGGGCAGAATGAGTTGGCCTCTCTGACCTATTTGATGAGACCATTGGATAAGGTCAGCTGCTATGATGAGCCAGACAACTTCTGAGGGTCTGAGGCTGGTGAGGGTGGTTGGGAGTGTACTCCTCCCTGGGAAGGCTGCTCAGTGTTTGCACTTTTCTGTCCATGTCTGTGGTTGAGCTTGGCAAATGTTGCCATTCAAGTGACACATGCTGAGCCCCATGAGAAGTCTTCTGTACCTCACATGTAGGTTGACCAGGGTCCTGGCTTCCCCAGTACCATATCCCAGGGAACCCCCAGTTGTATGCAAACCCAGCATTTCACAATTGCATCAGTGCCCTTGATATGCTTCRTGAACATATAAAACTATCTGGGAGACTCTCAGGGTAATCGGATCATTAATTACCTAGGGCTGGGGAGGATTGCCATGATTGTCAGAGCTCCATTTTCCCAAAGTGGGACGGCTACCCTGTGTGCATGAATGTACATGGCTGTGTGTGTACATGGCTGTGTGTATGTGGCTGTATATGGCCGTGTGTGCATGTACATGGCTGTGAATGAGTCTACATGGATGTGTGTGCGTGTGTGTGCATAGATGTGTGTGTGCGTGTGTGTGCACCTCCGCTTTTCTTTTGGGAAATGAGCACATTGCCTGGATTCCGAATCTCAAGGCAGTCCCACTGGGAACCCTGTAAAGCTCCTGTGTGGGGAGCAAGGGAGGGGAAATGATATAAAATTCCCAATTTTTGCCTTTCACATTGTTAGAAAGACATCCAGTTCATAGCTTAATGTATATAGTCACTAAAGAATATGAGCAAACAATTAACTGGGAATCTCTCCTATGGCTCTAGGAATTTGAAGCCTATGTCAACGCCTCTGGAGAACACGGAATTGTGGTTTTCTCTTTGGGTTCAATGGTCTCAGAGATTCCCGAGAAGAAGGCTATGGAAATTGCTGATGCCTTGGGCAGAATACCCCAGACGGTAAGAAGGCTCTGTATATCACTCCTCTATGCCTACCTTCATAGAGACTTCTAGTAGCTAAATTAATTCCACTAGTTGCGACTGAAGATTTGGCCATTCACTTTCCCTAATCCAAAGTGGTTTTTGTTTGTTATTTATTTCACTTGTTTTGGTGAAATTTAACCCTTAACTACCTTTAAACCATGGTCCCCTTCACTCAGAAGTCTCATTTTTCTCTAAGAGACACTTGTAGAGACCTTTAGTTAAAAATGGAGAATTCAGATAAAAATAAATAACATGTTGTTTCTTCATATTAATTGGAGCATTTCTCCAGAAAGCTGTTAGAACACTCGCTTTCTTTCACGTGCTGTTCTGTCTTCAGTAAGCTTTCCCTSGAGGCGCAGACAAGGGGGCAGCAGCCCGTGGCCGGGGAGGAGCCTCGCCAGTCGCCCAGGCCTGCGGCGTTGCCAGGTCTCGGCCCTGCAGAGGTCACGCGCATTCTCTTCCTCCAGAGGACTTGCTGCCCGGCTGCTGTCGCAGGGCTTTTTTATTTTGTTGTAAATCCTGCCACATTCTTTTATGAAGATGTCCCTTTCGCCCCTGCAAGGTCCTGTGGCGCTACACCGGAACTCCTCCATCCAATCTCGCCAAGAACACGAAACTCGTCAAGTGGTTGCCGCAGAATGACCTGCTGGGTATGTTGGGAGGGTCGGAGCCGGGCACCGGCGCGGGCTCTCGGGTGGCTGCGCTGGGTGCTGGCCTGCGGGTCCGGGCGGCCACGCCCTCCCCGTGTGCTTCTGTGGGGCCCAGCGCAGCCCCCCGAGGCCTCAGCGGCAGGACAGCCGCATCCCTCACGGTTCTGCCTCCCAGGTCACCCGAAGACGCGCGCGTTCATCACGCATGCTGGCTCCCACGGCGTTTACGAAGGCATATGCAACGGGGTACCGATGGTGATGATGCCCTTGTTCGGTGACCAGATGGACAATGCCAAGCGCATGGAGACGCGGGGAGCTGGCGTGACCCTGAATGTCCTTGAGATGACTTCTGATGATTTGGCAAATGCCCTAAAAGCAGTCATCAATGACAAAAGGTAAGAGAGAGGGTAAAGAATACCACCTGTGTTTTCCCCTTTGGGTTCACCGTCAACATTCTGGTGTGAAAATACTCCCAAAACCAGACTCATAAATAAGATAATTTGGGGATTCACTTTATGAAAGGACACTTTAGTTCTTATGACATTTTATTTCCCCTACTAGATTTAAAATTTTATTTTACAAAAGAGTCACCATAATAGGTGCCTCATCTATGAGTTTCTGCAGAGAGAAATGTTCTGTTACAAGAAGCAGAATGTCCCTAAGACAAAACAAGCCCAGGTTCACAAGTACAATGTTTCCTCTGAGGCCTTGTATCCAGAGGCATCGCACAGGTGGACGTTCTGTGATATCACAGACAAAAGCTGAGAAGAAAAGCAAATGCACGTTTATTCAGAAATGACTCTGAAAACTGTTCTATGGGCAAGAGCCATCAGATCACATGCTATCTGCATGAAGTGTAGGGTAATGCTGTCAAGCCGACTCCCAGCCAGGGGAAGAAATGATGGCCAGTAGTGCGTCTCTTCCAGCAATAGATAGTGTGTGTGTTTGCATGCCTGTGTGTGTATGTGTGTGTCTGTGAGAGTGTCAGGAGTGTTGTCGTTGTCTGTTTTCGTTGCAAAAACAGAATACCTGCGGCTGGGTGACTCATAAAGACAGACGTTTACTGGCTCACAGTTCTGGAAGTTGGCGAGTCCAGGGTCTGGCAGTTGCACTTGGTGAGGGCTTCACACTGTGTCATAAGGTGGCAGGAAAATGGAAGGGCAGGGCATTTGTCAAAGAGATGGAACACGGGGAACCCTTGTTTGCAGCAACCTATTCTCCCAGTAACCACGCCTGTCCCACAGAAAGGCATTCATGGCTCTCAGTGACCTAATCTCTTATAGGCCCCACCACTCCTCTAACTCCTGCATTTGGAATTAAAGTCCCCACATCTGAACTTCTGGGTCACATTAAAACCACAGCTTACCCAGGTTGCTTTCTTAGGAAGATGCACCAATTGGGAGGACAGATGAGAATAGCTGGGTTGCATTCACCTGGAAGGACACAGTACACTGGGGACACAGCAAGCCTGGCCAGGGGAGGCAGGAGAGGACTGAAGACTGGCTCCCAGATTTGAGGTGCTAAGTGTATGCTGTGCCAGTGGACAGGAGGGAGAAGGCCACCTGACCCTGGGCTGGAGTGCTYGGTGAGCAGGTGATGTGGGTCGCAGCCCTTCCTCTCCTGGGCGTGGTCTTCTGACCTGGCACTTCAGGCCCACTRTTCTGCCCACCCACCAGCACGCTGGCCGCCTGGCTTCAGCCCATGTGTTGATGAAACTCACATTAGTCACGTGACTTTGCTCCTTGGCTCAGTGGTGTGGATGACTACGTGTGACATAAAAATGACTACAAGTTCTCTAGTGTGTTATTATTTCATTTTTCATTTTTTTTTTGTGGTGCTGGGGATGGAATCYAGGGTTTCATGAATGCTAGGAAGACACTCTCTCACTGAGCCACATCCCCTGATCACATTGTTATTTTTAAAGAACACTAACCCATTAGCTTAAGTTATTATCTAACCTCAACTATTTGTTTCTGAGCAAAACATCTCTGTCTCCATGTTTCTAACAGTTAAGCTAGGACTGTACCTATGCAACACAAAGAAAAATGGATAAGTCTCAAGTATCAGTTTATGCAGACAACCATGCCATCATAGGTGCTCAATAAATATTGAATGAATGGCTGGCTGGGTATGGTGATGCACATCTATAATTCCAGTTATTTGGGAGGCTGAGGAAGGAGGATTACAAATTCAAGGCCAGTCTGGATAACATAGCAAGACCCCATCTCGAAATTTAAAAAAAGTAAATTGAACAAATGACTGAAATTTCTAAGAAAATTTAATATAAGAGCTATATAAAAGGAAGCTATTTAGCCAGATTTATGGCCAAATATGAATATTATGTTATGGTAATATATTTAAATAAAATACAGATATATTTAAGAACAGCAATGATCATAAGTCCTGAAGAGGAGGAGTATCTTACTTTTCTYTCTTTCTCCTTCTTCTCCTCCTTCTAATGTATCAGCACACCAAAGCGTCTGCCCATTTTGGATTTGTTTGTTCTGATTCAACTATCAGCACTGTCTAATAATCAGAATCCATCTTGCACTAGCAGTTTGCATAGGCAACTTCAGGCTAAATTGAGCACACAGGTGGTTTGGTGTGTCAGTGAGTCAGTTGAAAGTGTACYCACCACCTTGGAGTTAACACTTCAAAATGTTTTTTCTTTGGCCATGTGTGATTGTTTGTAACTTCAGATGGGAGGCCACCTATAATTTATRACATGACTTTTTCCTTGATTTTACTAAAGTAAAATTTTTAAATTTTTCTATAAGTATAATCTAATATTACACAAAAATTCCTGTTTCATTGTTTTACTATGAAGAAAGTAAATCTAATTCCCACAAAAATATAACTAAAAAGAAAAGAAGTAAAGTAGGAAGCAAGGTTTTAAAAATGTGTAAAAGTACAATTTGGGGTTCCAGTCTCCCTCTCTCTCTCCCTTCCTCTTTTCTCCTCTCTTCTTTTTCTTCCTCACCTTCTTTTTATCTACACAGAACATTAATTGAGAGAGAGAGAGAGAGAGTGTGTGTGTGTGTGTGTGTGTGTGTGTGTGCGTGCTTTCTGGTTAGAACAGAAATACAGTTCTCTACCAAGTTCAGAAAGTCTGGCCGCCAGCATAAAGGGTGGCTTGTTCATTGTCGAGGACGTCCTGGGCACCCACACATTTGTCTTTGTGTCTAGCTACAAGGAGAACATCATGCGCCTCTCCAGGCTCCACAAGGACCGCCCCATTGAGCCGCTGGACCTGGCTGTGTTCTGGGTGGAGTTCGTGATGAGGCACAAGGGGGCCCCCCACCTGCGCCCGGCAGCGCACGACCTCACCTGGTACCAGTACCACTCCCTGGATGTCATTGGCTTCCTCCTGGCCATCGTGCTGGGAGTGGCATTTATTGCCTTTAAATGTTGTGCCTACGGCTACCGGAAGTGCTTTGGGAAAAAGGGGAGTGTGAAGAGGGGCCACAAATCCAAGGCACATTGAGAGGTCGGTGGGAAGTAGGGTGAAATTTTGATCTATCCGCCAATCAATGGTAAACTTGAAAATAGGGTCAGTGTTAAATTCTTTTTATTCTTATTAATATTTTGCCATAGTTAGACATTCCCAGAGCATTTTATAAAAAGGAAAGTAATTTAATAGCTAGTTAAAGGTAGATAAAGGTATTAGATACAAATTCTGCGTCAGTGTTTTCAATCTGGCTGTGCCTGTCCCCTCTCCTGTGGCTTACAGACAGCCTGGGCACTCTGGGTTATTTTCCTCATGCAGCCGTGTGGCCTGTTTGGGAACACAGGATTCAAAGTTGGTCCCACAGTTTCCCCTACTTCACATRGCGGTTTTCATGCCACCATCTTGGTCTGTGGACTGCTGTGGACTAGCCCGTGAGTCACCAGTGACAGTCAGTCTTCACTTAAGTTCAGGTTCCTAGGAGGCACTTTTTATATCTGAAGAAGGAAGCCTGTATACGAGTGGGTGGGTGGRAGCCTTGAGAACAGTGTATGATTACTGACTTTGGGGAAAAATAATGATGCTATGAAATCGATGGACGATCCATTTGCAAGGGTGATCATTATTTGTGTCAATGACAGAAACCAAGTACATTTTATCTGATGTTTTTCACAACTAAAAATTTGTTAATAAATTGGCATAAATTATTTTTTCTGTGTTTTTCTTTATATTGGTGTTGCATTTTTTTATTATTAAAATTAGATTTTCTAATTATGGATGCAAGATAAGACAGAAAATTGAAAAAATATAGAAGTTGACATATCACACATTAGAAAAGAGGATTCGCCAATAATCACATTGCCCCGAAACAACCATTGTTCCCCCTATAGTTTGGAGCCTGAGTGTCCCCCAAAAGCCACATGTTGGAGGCTTTGTCCCCAGCCTGTGGCATCATTGGGGGGTRGTGAAACTTTTAAGAGGTGGGGCCTCCTGGGAGGAAGTTAGGTTGCTGGGTGAGCCCTTGAAGGGGACATAGACACCTCCCCTTCCTCTCTTTCTTTGCTTCCTGGCCACCGTAAGGTAAGCAGCTTCTTTCCCAATGTGCTTCCACCATGATGTGCTGCCTCACACAGACCAAAAGCAGCAGGTCCAAGTGACCATGAACTGAAACCTCTGAAACCGTGAGCCAAAATTAACCTTTCCTCTTTATAAGTTGATTTATCTCAGTTTTTTACAGTAATGCTGATTAACAGCATTAACCTGTATTTTAGCACATACAAATATTGTAGATACACCAAATATAGCTAGTATTTTCCAACATTCTGTACTCACTTTGCATTACTACAACAAAATAACCTGAGGCAACTAACTTATAAAGGAAAAAGGTTTATTTAGCTCACAGTTTAGAGGTTCAAAGACCTGGTGCCTTTGAACTGTTCCAGTGGTGCATCCACCTCTGTTCTGATGAGGAYGGCAGGAGGTGGCACATCATAGCAGGAACCTGTTTAAGAGCAAACAAGTGATTACATCTTGAGCCAGGAGGGGAGAGAGTGAGAGCAAGAACGAGAGTGAGAGAAAGAGACTGAGGTCTCACAGTGCCCTGTGAGGGCACATCCCCAGTGACCTAAGGACCTCCCACTAACCCCCACCTCCTAAAGACCCCACCACTTTCCAATGAACCCTCCTGCAGACCCCCATGAGACCCACAGGTCTTTGGAGGACAGATCTAAGCTCTWGCATTCTTTTCCTCACCCCCAAAGTTTCGTATCCATCTCACAGTGCAGAACCCCAAGAGTTAATTCCATCCCCAAGTCAGTGTTCCAGCAATGCTCAGAAACAAGTCCAAAGTCTCATCTGAGACTCAAGGCAAATTCAGTGGTGAGCCCTTTTTAAAACAAAAAAGCAGGTTACATATGCATGTAGAAGATACAATGGCAGGACAGTCGCAGGGTGTGCATTTCTGTTCCTAAAGGGAGGCATGCAGAAAGGAAAAGGGGGAATCRGCCCAAAGCAAGGATGAAGCCAGCGGGGAAAACAGCAAACCCCAAGGCTCCATATCTGGCATCTGGGCACAYTGTGGTGGGACGCGGGCTCCCGAGGGCTTGGTCATCCCTGCCTCTGTGGCTCTACCGGTGGCAGCCCACATGGCTGCGCCTCCAGCGGATTCTGCATGCTTCCTGCGGCTTTCCCTGCAGGGGCTGCATGTAATGACATCTCTGTTTTCCTTGGGCCTCACTTTAGCTTTGGCTTCACTCCCTCAACTGTGCCATGCATCATCCGTGAGAGACTCCCTGCAGGAACTGCAGCCCTGTAGCACAACTCTGCCTGGCCTCCCAGACTCTAAATYACCATAGAGGCCACCGAGAGCCCATAACCCTTGCAATTCTGCCTGCCTGCAGACCCAGCATCAGTGGGTGGCCCCAAGCACTCCATCAGAGTGAGCAACACTGGGAGCACAACTGTGGCGTGGAGGGCTTTGCTGACTGAGTGTAGAGAAGTGAATTCTGAGCAGTCCTGGGCTCTCATAGTTCCCTGGGACTCTTTCCTGAAACAGTTCTTCCCTGGAAAGTATTTGAAACAAACTTACACTAATATTCCTCTGTGCCTGTGAGGACAGTGGTGGCCTTGCTGATTGCTGAGATGACTGGGAAGTGTGGTTCCTATTTTCCCGGATTCAGCTTCTTTGTACTGGTGCCAACCTCTTTAGAAACCACCCATCCATGGCCACACCCTTACATTCTTTTGTGCTCCTTTCCTGGCCAGGCTACACATTTTTCAAGTCTTCTTTGCTCCTTTTTGCTCTTGATTCTCAATGTAAATTTGGCTAAAAGCAGCCAATAACATCCACGGTATAAATGCTTTGCTATTTTGAAATCTTTCTGTACCAAATAAATTAGCCTACCACATTTAAAGTCATCACAAAGTAATAGATTCAAATTATTTGCCATGGTGTGACAAAAGGGTGGCCTTTTCTCCAATTCCCAATAGGATCCTCATTTCCATAAGAGACCTCMTCAACAAGGCTTTTACTGTCCACATTCCTATCAGCATTTTGGTCTTCTGAGCCCTCACTAGAATCGCTCACAGTGCTTACAGCATTCTAGRCTTTCTATAATTTACTCCTCCAAATTTTCCATCCTTTTTCTGTTAAACAATTAAAAGCCCCACACACACATCTTCAGGTATAGCTATCGTGATGATCAATCTCACTTCTGACACCAGTTTTCTATATTGGTCAATTCATGTTACTACAACAAAATATTAGAGGCAACGAACTTAGAAAAGGTTTATTTATCTCATGTGCATTCTACAAATAGTGTTTTCCTGTTTCCTAGTTTGTTCCCATAGAAACAGAGGTGGGAAGCTCAATAGAATGGCAGCACCTAAGAGTGTTTTATTTTGTGAAAGGATTATGTGTGAGTTCAACAGTAATGTCATGATCAGAAAAAAAAAGTATTTTAATCTGTGGGGACAAGTGTGGAGCACTGCATACATGGTATGCGTTAAAGGCATCTGAGTGGCAAACCACTCCCCTCATGCTAGGCGCGTGCCTGTGTGGCAAATTGCTTACCCCGYAGACACAGTCCTGGGCGTGAGGTCATGTGTTGGAGTCCCTGTGCTGGCTCCACGGCCCGCTCCTTGACTGGTCGCTGCAAGGACAGTTGGCAAGGAACTGTACTGGTGGCTGCCTGAAATCTCTTAGCTCCTGCCTGGGGATGCGTACGTGGTAACTGTGCAATAAAGTCAGACCTGCTTCCTGCTTGGTCTCYGGAGGTCTTCAATAGTGACTCCCGGCCACACTCTCCTCTACCCCGTTCCATGGACCTCCTCTCTGGATGACACAGAGCCCATCACCTGGCGCCCGAACAGGGATCTGAGGTAAGTCTATACGAAAGGGTGTGGCCCCTCACAGAGCAGTGAGGAAGGGGAAGTGGGAACCTACCGAGTTCCACCACAGACTCACAGCTGCAAGTGCTGCACACTCTCTTGGATACTAGAGGTTTAACCCTGAATAAGAGAAGCCCAGAAGTTTTGGGACGTAGTGACAGATACCAGCCCATGGATCAGTGCCGCTGATGTTCCTGATCCTAGGATATGGGACAAGATACTGGCAAATGCACAGCAAGCTCAAGTGAGACAGGGGTATACTTTACCATGACATTTTTTTCCTATTATGACAGCCATTCAGCAAAGTTTAGGGGGCCCCGCAACAGGTCCTTTTCATGTAATGATGGCCCTGAGGGAAGATGAGGCTGAGAGAGACAGACAAGGGGAGAGCAGTGGGGGTGAAAATCTACCTCAAAGCCAGCAACCACAGCAGGTGCAGGAGGGAGAGAGACAGGAAACGGTGCCGCTGGCCTTCATGGTACAAGAAGAGGTGACCCCCAATGGTGCAGGTGCACCTTCTACTGACAGGCAACGACTATATCCTTTCCTAAGTCATTGGCAACTGCCTCCTTATGAGGCAATGCCACAGCCGGCAAGGGACTGAGAAATGACCAGGCCACAGACAGGCCCAAGCCATGGTCTCCCAGAAACCCATTCCAGGAGGCCAGAGATCCTTCTGAAGGTCTATGTAGGACAAGAGATGAAAAGTGGGGTAAGAGGATACCAGCCTTCCCAGTCAACACGGACCCCACACACAGCGCCCTGCCACTTGGTACCCGCACATGTTGGGCACCCTGAAAGAGTTGAAGAAGGCAGTAAAAGAGGATGCACCCTGGGGGCCATTTGCAGAGCAAAGGCTCAAATCGCTCAGTCGCTCAGTCTTGAACTTAATTGCACTCAGGACTGGAAGGACCTAGCCAGAGCAGCTCTTGAGCCGGCAACATCTTTGAAGTAGAAGGCATTCTTCTATGATGCAAGTGAACAGCAGGGAGATCGTAACCACACCACAAATGTCAGCCTCCCAGCTGAATGCCTGCAGGGACAGGGAATCTACCAAATTATTTCAATCAGGTACGGCTCTGTGCTCTGAGAGCCTGGAGGAAGCTACCAGCTGGGGGAGGCACAGTTTCTCTACAGGGCTTAAGGCAGAGAGCCACCAAGGACTTGCCACAGTTTATTGACAGAGTAAACGAGGCAATAGAAGGGAAGGTGTCTCAGGAAGGAGCTAGGGCAGCACYAGCCAAGGGTTTGATCTGGGATGGACTAAATAAGGAACA